TGAACATTGTAAATTGTGAACAAACAACAGATAAAAGAGCCAAATACCAATAGTTTGCTGAGAGTATTTTGCTATAAATTAGCTTCAAATTCAGGGTGAGATCTCAAAGTAATATTATAAATATTATAATAATAAGAGTAAATTAGTAGTAGATGATTTGGGCATCAGACTTTCAAGAACTGAAACAGGCCTGCTATCTTAATGGACCAGACTTGGGCCATTTAATAAAGCTATGACCTATCAGGCCCAACATTCATGAAAAAACAAAAATGAAAATAAATAAAAAGTAAAAAATGGTCTCAAAATCTCTGCTCATCAGCAGTTCTATCCTGGGGACTTCAATTTCCTCTCCAAATTCTCATGAATTTCTCGTGCTTCCATTGCTAGAGAGAGGCTATGGCAATTCGCGTCATGAACGGTCGGACACTATTCCGCTGCTGCACGATGTCTCCGCCGCTCCCCGCAGTTCGCTGCTGCCAGCGCCGCCACAAGTTCGCTCGGTGCCGCTCCCCGGACCGCCTATTTATTTCCCGGCGGATTCAGTGTCGGCTCGCGTCCTACGGATATGGACTTGTCCCAGTCCGTCAATACTCAGCCCAGAGCTTGGTGGATATGGTGATTGGACAGCTCGAGTCGCTGCGCAAGCGTGGCAGAGTTCGCGCCTCGAACAAGTATGTAAAGGTTCTGCGACTGCACAGCTCGCGGTTTATGCGTATTCCCTTTTTAGTCTAATAATTATAAATTGAGCACTACATTTGTACCTACTGTTTGTGTAATAGTGAAATTTTGAGAAAAAATGGATGAGCTTTGCATGATATGGGCTGTGGAAATATATTCTGAGTAAAGTATTTTGGAGTTGTGATGGAAATTAGTGGAAGTAGCCTTATGTTCTGAGTAATTGCCTCATTTTGTTGATCTCCTGAGATATTTGAGGCCTTGTGATGGAACTTTGAATCTTTTCCAGAGCTGCATAGAATGGCTAAGCAGTAAATTCAATTTTCATGTCAATTAGAGATTCTGATGCATCATGATGTATGTATTGAAATTTGAACATAGAAATTTATTTAGAATGTCAAGGCATTTTTTTTGTTTTTGCATTTTATTTTCTGATCGGTAAAGAGAAATCGATATGTAGATTCAAAGTTGTGAACGTGCTGAAAAAACAAGAGGACAAACACTGTCAGGTAGTGTTGCGAAGGTGTCTTTGAAGCTTAAGACTGAGGGTATATATAAAAATTGTGTGGTGAGACTCTTCACTGTGGAATGTGGATAATATATAAGTATTTGCCACTAACGCTGCTGAAACGTATACAATATTATCCAAAAAATTTGAGATAAAGATGCTGGAGAGCTACTTGGCAAAGTGACGATCCTGATATAAAAATTGTGTGGTGAGACTCTTCACTGTGGAATGTGGATAATATATAAGTATTTGCCACTAACGCTGCTGAAACGTATACAATATTATCCAAAAAATTTGAGATAAAGATGCTGGAGAGCTACTTGGCAAAGTGACGATCCTGATAACTCAAATGTTGGATTAGTTATATATATATATATATATATATATATATATATTTGATATCATCCTAATTAGATGTTACAATGGCAATATATGATTTTTTTTCCGTTTCCCTTCTCAGATTAGAACTGAAAATCAATGAAGAGATTCTTGAAAGTAAGGTTGGAAAGTTGGCACTGAAGAAAGGGTTGCTGCTGGAATTCCGGAAAGACCCGGAGAGGTTGCTGCTTGCTGTTGTTGAGAAACCCGATGGCAAGAAGAATTGGATAGTTACAGATCAGGTAACATCTTATGTTTGCATTTTAAGCACTCTAAGGTTCTGGTCACTCAGTTGTAGTTTTCTGGTTTTTCTGATTATGCAGAATGGAAACATGGCATCTATTAAGCCACAACAAATTACTTTCATTGTTCCTGGTGTCGAGAACTTTGACCAAACAGAGATATCAACCTTTGTTCAGAAAGCTCAAGATAATTTGGTCTGTTGTCCTTGCAGTTCTGAATTAATGGAAATTGACTTGAAATCTACTAGCAATGTCTAGAAAAGCTTGCATTTTGCTTTCAGGACCTTGCACTGCTTGAGTTTGCGTGGGTTGAGCTTCTTGAGAAGAACAAGTCTACTACTGTGGAGGAGCTTGCTGAGGTATACCTTTCAAATACTCGCTTTTGTTGATCGATATTCACTCAATGACAGTGAACGTCATTCTGACAGATGATTTTTGGTAGCACGGAACCTTTTGAGAGCTACTGTGCTCATCTGTTGCTTACAAAAGACGAAGTATACTTCACTACTCTGGAGACCAAAGGTTCATATTCTGTTTATGGACCTAGATCAGCTGCTCAGGTCCGTTACAGCTGCTTCCATGAGATTCTGTTGCTTACTGATAAATCTTCTTTTGGTTTCACTCAGATTTTATAGGTTATTTGTTTCATTCCTTTTTGGAGTTTTTTAAACTATTTTTAGGATAATGATTCCTCATGTCCATGTGGCACATCATCGTTCACATTAGCTTTTGAACTTTGTTAAAAGCTGAAACATGTTATTTGATTTTATAGGTTGAAGAGCTCACAAAAAGAAAGCGTGCCAAAGAAGTTGCAGAGAAGGAGTTCGAAGAGTTGGTTAACATACTGAAGTCTGCCAGGGATATGCCTCTGCATGCAAAACCCCCAAAATCCACATGGACTTCTGATGAGAAAGTACGGAAGACGATTGAGTCTCTTCAAGCATATGCAATTGATGATTGTAGGAATGAAGATCAAAAGAAAACTGCTGGGCTGGTAACTTATATAGCCTTTCTTATCTATCCATGTTTAGTGTGCTTTACTTGAAAACTGTAGACAAGTGTATAGTGCAAAATCTAATTTTTTGCCATGGGAGACTACATAATCTCAATATGCTTTCAGCAACTTCACTAATAGCAACTTCATATCATGCAATGCTAATCTGTCAACATAATCAGTAATACTCAATTATGGAAGATTAAATGATGACACCAGCTTGACCCTGCAGATTCTGAGGGCTATGGGACTTGCTAAAACAGCATCGGCAGCTGTGACTCTCCTCATAAATATTGGTTATTTTCCAGTGCACATAAATCTTGATTTATTGAAGTTAAACATCCGTACTGGCTTTCCAGAAGAGATTAATGCAGCTGCAGAAAAACTTCTGTCTGAGTCGCCTGACATGGACGAGGTATGTCTGTTTTAGAACCTTAGGTAGATTTAATCATCTCACTGTGGTACTTGAACATAAAATTTGGTAATCTGTGGTCCTTTAAAAATAAAATTAAGTAAAGTGGAGCAAATATTGAAACTTGTCAGATACCAGTTTCAAGAAAATGTTACCTTTTGTGTGCCATCAGGTTGATAGAACAGATCTTACCCACCTAAAGGTTTATGCAATTGATGTTGATGAAGCTGATGAGGTACTCCTTTTCATAAATCTTACCACTGCTTTTGCTCGTGTGGTTTTGAGATTCCTGGATCTGGATTATATGCTTAAAGAGGTGCTTTTGGCAAATTCTAAAAAGACGGCATGTGCAGCTTGATGATGCATTGAGTGCAGTCAGGCTTCAGGATGGCCGAATAAAGGTCTGGATCCATGTTGCAGATCCAACTAGATTACTTCAGCCGGGGTGCATGATAGACAAGTATATGTGACGTTTATGTCAAAGCATATGTTCTAAAATTTACCTTGTCTGGCATTGTGTAATATATTCTTATTCTTTAGAGAGGCAATGAAGAGGGGAACTTCTGTGTTTCTACCAACAGCTACTTATCCAATGTTCCCCGAGAGATTAGCCATGGAAGGCATGAGTTTGAAGCAAGGGGAGTTCTGCAAAGCTGTCTCGGTTTCTGTTGTGCTGCATTCCGATGGCTGGTAAGTGGGCAAAATAAGTGAGCTTCGTTTATAATATATTATTGTACAAGCCTACATCTTTGGAAAAGCAATTTTGTGGATTAAGGTTAACTAGCTGAGATCCTTTGGGGTTACCATACCATATCTTGGATTTGAACAGTTGGTCAAATTGTGCTTGGTATTTTAAGTATAATGAGTATAATGATTGATTTTTTATCGGAGTGAATTTTGTTTAGATGGATTAAGGGGGACTTTGATAGTGTATTTTGGCGATGTTGGACATGGGAAATATATCAAGTGGGTATTTTGGCCAATCTAATTTATTCTTCATTACAATACATACAGCACATTACATATTTATAGAAGGGAGTGGCGGTTCTCAATGCCATGTACAAGACTCGAAAATGTTCAGATATTGTCCACTGTCATCGACCAATTTCAAAGCAAAAATATCTTTACTATATGAATTTTCTAGACTTCCTATTTAGCCTAAGCAAGCAACATTATTAACTTGTATTCTAGATTATTCTTCCAATGGCAGTGATGGTTATAAAATAAATGAGAATTAATTGTAACAGTGCTTCACGTGTATTGATTGTCCATATTCATCTGTATGTAGATTTAAAGTCTCATTTTGTATTCTTCCTTTCCCTTTGCATGCTACCCAGGAATCTTGAAACTAGTCTTACTGCTATGTTTTGTTAATAGCATTGCAGAGTACTCAGTAGAGAACTCTCTGATCAGGCCAACGTATATGTTGACTTATGAGAGTGCAACAGAACTTCTATATCTGAACCTGGAAGAAGAGGCTGAATTAAGACTGCTCTCGGAAGCTGCTGCACTTCGACTTCAATGGCGTCAGGAACAGGTCAGAACTTCTGTTTCCATGAGGTCAAATTTATCCTATTATGGTCAAACTCTTATTCTCACTTTGCGGTTTCTTAGTCACATATTGTAGAATTTGTCATTTTAAGAAAGCACATCATTGCTTCTCTACATGGGCTCAACCTGTGTGAGGAGTGCTATTAAAAATATTAGAATGAAAGTCTTAGGTGTTAAGGGTGTGAGTGGATATGGATTTGATTTGGTTTTGATTGGTTTTTTTGTTAACCATAGTTAATTTTGAAAAAATGTGGTATGATTGTCAGTGGGATTTTAAATTTATATTGAAATAAAATAATTAAAGTTTATTTGATGTAAAAGTAGGAGAGAGATGATGTAAAGTGATGGTTAGTTAAACTTATGTGGGTGGATGAATAGTGAATTAAAGTTGGTGTGAGGTGTAGGGATGATTGATTTGTATTATTTAATTATAATGATAATATTGAGGATAGTGAGGTTGAGTTAAATTTGAGTTTTGATTGGTTTTTTTTTTTTTTTTT